CTGTTTCCTCTGCAGATACCTGAGCTATCTACCTGGTGTCCTTCTTACCAACTGTATTCTTTTTCTTTTCGAAAGTTAGACTCTGGGAACTAGATCTGTGATAGAAATGTACCTTGTGCCTTGTGCCTTGTGCCACAGGGTTGTGGGGATTGACATTTGATCTCCACCTCTCCCAAGAGCTTCTCTTACAGCCTCTGGCCCTGCCATACATTATGCACATTTTCATGCATTTAAGGATATTTTTAGGACTGCAGTACTAGAAATGCTTTGATCTTTTCCTGAAAATTTTCCATGCAATTTAGCAAGCCCCCTTCTAACCCAGACCTAAACCTTGGAAATGCAGGGGCTGTCTTAGTCTTTTCTATTGTTATAACCAGACACCTATGCCTTAGAATTTATAAAGGAAAGAGGTTTACTTTGGTTCAAGGTTCTGGTGGCCAGAAGCCCAAGACTTGGTGGTTAAGTCTGGTGAGGCCTTGTGCTATTTCATAATTCAGTAGGCATCCAAAGGCCAGAAGGGCACTTCTGCTTTGTAACAACTCACTCCTGTGAGAACAAACCCACCCCTGAAGGAAAAGCCCTAATCCCTCTAATGCTGTAATCACCACTGTGCCAAACATAGCTCAACATGAGCTTTGGAGGGGACAGATCACATTCAATCATAGTTATGCCTCTCTGTAATTTTTTTTTCTCTTTGAAGTGTTGGGGCTCAAACTCAGGGCCTTGCACCTGCCAGGCATGCACTGTACCACTGAGCTACACCCCAGCCCATAGCAAAGGTTTTCTTTCATCTTCCAGGAATGCCAGAAGGAGTCCTCAACCCCCATGGGTTTTAGTTGGAATAGATCCCTGGAATGTAAGGCAGACAAAGCACATAAACATAGAAGTTATCATGTACATTTCACACAGACCTGGGAGGCATCCAGAGAAGGAGTAGTTCTCAAAGAGCTGGCTTTGAATTCCAGCTTCTTCAGTATCTTCAACAAAGAATGATGAATTTTTAGGTAAGTGACAAGACAAAGAAAAATGACTTTGTGTCATCAGAGGGGTGGCAACTCGTGGAAAGATAAATGATGGCGGAGGAAGGCAAGTTAGTGCAGCTTGCTGGTGCAGTTTCTTGGTACCACCTCCAGGCTGGTGAGGGTCTGGAGGTATTGTCACTGTCTCTTGTTTTTCCTAGTGTGTCTGTCTTTGCAGATACTTAGCCTGCTTTGAGGCCAAGGAGGGCAGAGTGCTCTCCTCCTCATCCTCTTTGTCTTCCTCATTCTCCTTCTTCCCTTCCTTTTTCTTCTTGCAGTACTAGGGGTTGAACCCAAGGCCTTTGTACTGAGCTCCATTCCCAGCCCTTTTCCATATTTTATTTTGAGACAGATTCTTGCTAAGTTGCCCAGGCTGGTCTCTACTTGCGACCCACCTGCTTCAACCTCCCAGAGCAGTGGGATCACAGGTGAGTACTACCATGCCTAGCCTGCATCTACTTCTTAATTGTTTTTAGCTCAAAAAAAAAAAAAACAATTTAGCTCAAATACCTCATATTTTGGGGTCGCATATTCTGGTCTCCCCCACTGCTTTCTCTTGGTGTCAGCTTGCAGGGTTGTGTACTGTATTCCATGAGATTTTTGCCTATATGAGGTGCTCCCAAAGGATTTGTCCTTCATACGAGTCAGTTGTGATGCGCTGCTGCCTCCTCCTAAACTATCTGCAAACACCTGGCACCATCATATCCTTTCCTGGTCTCATCTCCTCCAGCTTTTTGGGGGGGGGTACCGGGGATCGAACTCGGGTCCTTGCGCTTGCACAGCAGGCGGCGAAACCACTGAACTAAATCCCCAGCCCCTCCTCCAGCTTTTTGACAGCTACACACTCAAAAACCAATAAGCATCTGGTTTTATTTTGCATTAAGTACTAAGCTGAGAGCTATTTCCAATGTTAAACTAGAGTTAAAGTGTCTCAAAAAAAAAAATAGAGTCTCTACATCTTTTTTCATGGAAAAACAGCATGGATCATTGCCATGGGGTCACAATGAGGCTCAGCACTTGGCAGAGTGGTACCTGGCCGGCACTGACTAAATATTTGGCGGATGTACGAGTCCTGTAGGAACAGTTGGGACTGTATATCTACAAGAAGTGGGTGCAGTCTTCCTAATCCAGATGGGCTGCTTCTAAAGAACACATGGTGTCTTCACAGAGGATTTCTGGAGACACTGATATGCCCACCTAGTTGACCATCTAACCCAAGAGTGGGACCAGGCTCGACTGGAGAAAAATGTAACCAGGGCCCTATCAACTTTTGCTACTAAGTGGGCTCCTGTTAGGGTTGATACTAGATGTTCCCCCAAAGCCTCGTGCACTTGTGAAGGAGGTGACTGGAGCATGGGGGTGATGCTGGAGTAGTCCACCGATAGGTTTGTAGCTGGGTGTGATGTTGGTAGATGGAGCCTGGTTGGAGGAGGTGAATCGTTGTGAGTGTGGCCTGGGAGGCTTATCTCCTTCTCCCCCCTTTATTTCTCTTTCTGCTTCCTAGCCACTGTGCCTTGAGCAGCTTCTCCTCCACCCTGGCCCTGTATCCATGTTGCCCCAGACTGGACCCAGCTATGGACTGAAACCCTACGAACTGTGAGCTACAATAAACCTCTCTTCCTTTAAGTTAGGGGTGTCGAGTATTTCATCCCAGCAATGAGAAAGATAGCTCCCTCTCTTGCCCAGCCCTCTTTTTCTCCAGCAAGCATACCAAAGGCTGAGGCAGTCTCTTGGCCATTTGACTGGTTGCTGCCCCGTCCTTCCCTACACCTGTCTCTGAGGCATACCCAGGCCTTAACTCTCTGACTGGCACAAAGGCTCAGGCGTTCCTCCAGGACTCCCTCGCCACCCATTTCCTCCCTGCATGGCAGGCAGTTATACTCTCTTCCTATGGTGTGGCCAGAAGAGGAAGTTAAAGCAGGTGGTCGAGTCCTGGCTGGGAGAGGAGACAATTTTTCTAGTGGGGAGTGGGGAGTGAGTAGTTTAGTGCCTTGTTTAAGTGAAGAACCTTTCTTCTGAGAGAGATCACGAAGATGTCCTGTGAGGCTATGACAGGACTCCCCTCCAGGGCTCCTGAAGGAAGGGAGGAGTCAAGTAGAATTGCAGTGACCAAGTAGCATTAGATGTGTGCCTCACTCAGTAACCACAGGCATTTCAGCCTTACTCTGTGCTGGGTCAGGACTTGGTGCTTTCCCCTTGCTATGGCCATAGTGTGAACAGTGAGGACATAAGTGGCATCCATCAGGTTCAAATCCACCACCATGTAGTTGTGTGACCTTAGGTAAACAACTTAACGTCTCTGAGTCTCAGTTGTTTTATTTGTAACATGAAGACCAGCTGAGTATATTTCATTAGGTTGTTGAGAGAATTAAATGAGATATGTGCTGGGGATGGTGGCCTGTGCCTGTAATCCTCTGGGAGCCTGAGGCAGAAGGATTACAAATTCAAGCCCAGCCTGGGCAGCTTAGCAGTTTAGCAAGACCCTGTGTCAAAATAAAAAATGAAAGAAGGTCTAGGGATGTTGCTTAGTGTGAAGGCCCTGGGTTCAATCCTCAGCACTTGTAAATAAATAAAGTATTTGAAGAGTTGATCACCATGCCTGAGACAAAAGAAAGACTCCCTAAAGGTTATCTGTTATGACAAAGCATTTAGATAAAGACCTGAGGATCTTTTTCTTGCACCGTTGGTAGAAAAACCCATTTTTCTATAATCCCCAAACTGGACATGTGTTCTACAATATGCCGTGACTGTATTTTCTCTACCCCCCAAACTATATGACAGAGATTTTTTTCATGTTGTGAATTTAATTTGATGAAAAGTATGAAATGTACACATTTAATCTCCAAATAACAACTTGATTGTAAAAGGTAGAATAAGACCGGAGTAAATGGAGAGACACAAATCTTTTTTCCCAATGCCAACAGGGTTTTTAAAATATTGACAAAAAACTCTAAGCTCATTTGGAAGAATAAATGAATGCCTCCAGTTAAGAGGTTTTGAAAAACAAATGAAAACCAAGAGTCTTTTCTGAGAGTAATACTTAAACTACTAGGTATTAAAACTTGTTTGTTTTTGGCCTAACCTGAGTAACTGCAGTGCTTTCTTAGGGAAACGACAGGGCAAAGCTGTTTTTCTGTTGGCTTTGGGCTGTATTTGTGCACTAAATCTTTATTCTAAAAAAATAAAAGGAAACTTTCTTTAATTTTTTAAAAATAAGAATCTCATTACTACATTAAAATCGTAATGAGAAAAAAAACTTGCATTCTATGATAAAAACTACAAACATAAACTATAATTCAGGATGGATGTGGCCTCCCTACACATAACTCTAAAGACAAACGCCATAAAAGACTGTCAGGTTTCAGCACATAAAATGAAAATTTTCTCACTGGCCCCCCCAAAAAGTTACAAATGAAATCTGAGGGAAAATGTTTACAACATACATGATGAGTAGCTAATACTTCTACTTTACGTATGCTCCCAAACAATAAGACCAGCTTCCCAACTTTTAAAAGAAGCAACTGAAAGAGTGGGCAAAGGAACAAAAACAAATTCACAAAGAGACAACACAAACTGGCAACAACCATGTGAAGAAAACAATCCAGTTAATTAGTAATCCAAGAGGAAAATCAAAACAATGAGAAATAACCATGTTAATCAAACTTGAAAATACAGCCTTTGTTGTCAGGGCTTCAGAAGAATGGCCATTTCACAGGAAAAACTAATATACTTCCCTGGAAGATAATTTAGAAAACATTAAAAAATATACCTTGTTTTTAACCCATCAGGTTTCTACTTCCTGTATTTTGAAATTGGGCATAAGCAATAAAAGAGAAATAGGATATAGAAAAACAAAATTTAGTTGGGTATAGTGGCACATCCTATAAACCCAGTACTCTGGGAGGCTGAGACAGGAGGATTTCAAGTTCTAGCCCAGCCTGGGCAATTTAGCAAGTCCCTGTCAATAAACAAATCAGTATATAAATAAAATTTTAAAAGGCTGTGGTTGTAGCTCAGTGAAAAGGCTCCAGGTTCTATCTCCAGTGCTGAAAAAAATCTCTATTTGTATATTTGTGCAGCCATTATGAACCATGTTATAAAATATCTAATGAAATGGAAGAAAATTCACAATATTGAGTTAAGTGAAAAAGGCAGAATCTGTTTTTACAAGGCATTCCTCCAATTATGCCAAAGATGAAATGGATATGTCTAATAAAAACACCGGAGAACACATGCCAAAATATCAACTATAATTGACTAGGTAAAAGTAGGAGAGTTTGATGTTTCCCTATTCCCTACTTATGCAACAGATCTGAAAAATGTTTTTTAAATAACTGTACAATTCAAAAATTGCCTTTGTCGAACGCATGAAAGGACATGAAATTGTACTAGCCCCGAAACCCCAGCAAAGCCAAGGCCACATGCTAACGTGAGTCACCGAAACCCGGGCTCAGGCTCGCACCTGCCTGGGCAGACGGCACCCCGGCTGCGCGCGTCGTCAGGCGCAGTGACCCGCGTGCCCAATCGGCCCCTCGCCCCGCGTCTGGCCCGCAGCCATGGGGAGCCGGGCAACTACTGCCCTTGCTTAGTTTTTGGACTCGAGGACCTTGATTGTAAAGTCCACACGGTCAAGTCCTTTCTGCCTCCACTTCCGAGCGCCAGAAGCTGCAGGCAGGCTTCAGGTGCGCCGTGACTGTCTCGTGTGAGCACCGCGCGGGGCCTGGGAAAAGTCCGGGGCGCGACGCGGCGCGACTGCCGGCGCCCTCGCTGAAGTCGCCGCGGCCTCCGATCCTCTAACAAACCTGTGCAGACGCGCCGGACCAGGGGCCACAGACGGGCCACGCGGTCGCATGCCGGCGCGCGTCCTCTGCAGGGACAAAGGGTCGAGAAACTTGAGCTCCTGCCAGTCGCAGAGACCCAGCCAGAGTCGCCATGGCGACGGAGCCAGGCCCCTCCCGGGCGCTTGCGAATGAAGCCCGGCAGCGGTGGCAGCGCGGGTGACCTGGTCGCCCCGCCCCCAGGCCGCGGCCGCTGAGCCGGCGACTGACCCTCGGCAGCTCCTGTAGTCACGTGGCGCTGGGAACCCGGCGGGGGGAGGTTGGGACGGGCCTGGCTGTGTGAACTCGAACCTGCTGCTGTCTCCGCGGCGGGGCGGGGAGCGGGCCGCAGAGGCCGGCTTAGGACTTCATGGACGGGCGCCGCGCCCCGGCACGGCCCGCAGGAGAGGTACGGGCGCACGGGGGTGCGGGGCACCTCGGGCCCGTGGAGGCAGCTCCACCTGCGGGGCGCGTGACCGCGAGGTGCGCGGCTTTTGGGGGGGGCGCGGCGGGGGGCGCACGCACCTGCGCACAGGCTCCGCGGGCTGCGCCGTGCGTGGCACCCCGAATGGCTCCTCGCAGGAGCGGGACCCTCGTGCCGGAGGACGTGGATGGAGGACATGCACCAATACAAAAGGGAGGTGTGGGCCGCCTGCCACCCTCGGCTGTCCAAGATGTCGAAAGGGATTCTGGCCGAGTCCTGGTCACGCTGGCGCGCCCTGCGCAGCCCCTTGGGAAACAGGCCTGGAATTCCTTTTGGGAGCAGAGTGGGGGAAGGAGAGCCAGCAGGGATCCCGGAGTTACTGCCCCAGGCCGGCGATTGGCCTCCAGGAAAAGACTCTGGGCACGGAATGGAGATTTCGTTCTGACCTTACCAGGAAGGTGACACCCCCCAAGGGCAGCAGTGTGCTTCCTTCACGAAGGGCCACATTTATTTATGAAGCCAGTCTCCATTAAGGTTATTCTGCCAGCCTTAAAGGCCAGAGTCCGTGGCTTCGTGTGGGGGGGTGTTGGGCTGGTGAGGACACAAAGATGATTGCCTTAGGGGAGTACAGAGCCTCACACGTGTCTTCTCTCCCCTCCCAACAGGTAAGGCTGGCCTCTCTTCGATCAGAGGGCTGAGCTGTGCCATGGGGGTAGGGGTGTCTTTATTGCTGCAGTTTTCTCTGACATCCGGGGGCTATCGGAGTGTGGGTCGAAGCAGGCGCTGCAGTCGCAGAAGTATCCCCAGGAACATCCCCAAGAGGAGCTGGAGAAGGCCTCACCCCCAGCTCTGCAGTCTCCAGGGTAGAGTCTGGCTTTGTGTTCCCAAACCACCGACAGCCAAGTGCACCCCTGCACTTGGCATCCTGGCACAGGGAAAGGACATGGCGGGGAGGTCCCCTTTCCATGTCTTGGGGTTCTTCCCAGCACTTAGTCCACGGGAATGAGTCATGTCAGTATTCCCCCAGGAGAACAGGCTGTAGGGAATGCAGGAAGCTGTGTCTGGAGCCGGTGAGTGGGCACAGGCGGACCCTCGGAGTCTAACCACTACCTTGGCCCTTACTCTGTGGAGGACGTTCCCCTGGGCTGTGGAGGAGCTGAATGCGGGGCAGCCCCTGGCCAGGCTGGGGCAGGATCAGGCAAGGAACAGAGATTCCAGTCTCTTCCCTCCCCTTCACTTGCCCCAGTAATCCACGGCACCCCAAAAGAGGCAGCGCCAAGGATTGGGCCCCCCAGGGCAGCAGGCAGTGGGTGTTCCTTGGATTCAAGACAGCTTCCTCTGCCATGGCCTAATTGCGTGTGTGGGTGGAGGAGGGCAGGCGGGCAGAATGTGGGCAGTCTGGACAGGCGGTGGCCTGGCTGTAGGCAGTGCTGGGAGGGATACTGAGCTCCACCCTATGCCCCAGAGAGAGGCTGTTCTCATTTGCACCCCAGGCTGGGGACCCTGAGATTGAGACCAGAAGCCCCTTCCCTGTGGGGGGGCAGGAATGAAAGGTGATGGGAATTTCTTTTTGCCAGATCTCTGCAAACCCAGGTGTTTAGAGGAAAGAACACTGGCCTAGGGGCTTAGAAGACCTATGCCCCAGTCTTGGTTCTACTTTTGGTTTACTGGGTCACCTCAGGCAAGTCTTGTCGCCTTTGATGCCTCCCACTCACCTCATCTGTCAAGTAGGGAGCTCAGTTTCTGCTCTCCCAGCCTCACCAATCTGCTGTGTGCTGAGATGTGGCAATAGGCACACACAGGCACACACAGAGGGCAACGGGGAGGTCTTGCATAAGCCTCAGATGCTGTAGGGAGATGTGAGCATATTTTCTGGTGAGTTCCATGGTCAGGATGCTAGTGCAGCCAACACAGGTAGCTGCCATGAGGAGGATTCCAAGTGTCAAAGTCTCCTCTGTGCATTTCCAGGGCAATGCAGATATAAGACACATTTCTGAAATGTTATCTAGAGATTGAAATAATGTGTAACACACAAGGAAGTCGGATCCCTAGATTGGTGGCAAGGGTTCTAGGAGTTTGTGGAGGGTGAGCTGCTCTCAGGGCGCTGAAGCAGGAAGGGGAGCTGGGCAGATTCGTTGGTCCCTGGAGTGACTCTCTCTTTCCACCCCCAGCACAAGAAGAACCCATGCTGGAACGGCGCTGCAGGGGCCCCATGGCCATGGGCCCAGCCCCGCCTCGACTTCTTTCTGGGCCGTCGCAGGAGTCATCTCAGACCCTGGAGAAGGAGTCCAGCAGGCTGAGTCACCGAGGCACTCCAGTGGCCCAGCCAGGTGGCCAAGCCCCCAGCAAGGCCCATCGGTGTGCCCACTGTCGAAGGCACTTCCCCAGCTGGGTGGCCCTGTGGCTTCACACCCGACAGTGCCAGGCCCGGCTGCCCCTACCCTGCTCTGAGTGTGGCCATCGCTTCCGCCATGCCCCCTTCTTAGCTTTGCACCGCCAGGTCCATGCTGCTGCCACCTCAGACCTGGGCTTCACCTGTCACCTCTGTGGGCAGAGCTTCCGAGGCTGGGTGGCCCTGGTTCTGCATCTTAGAGTGCACTCGGTTGCAAAGCGGCCCATTGCTTGCCCCGAATGCGAGAGACGCTTCTGGCAACAAAAGCAGCTCCGGGCTCATCTTCGGAAGCGCCACCCTCCTGCCCCTGAGGTCCGGCCATTCATCTGCGGCAACTGTGGCCGGAGCTTTGCCCAGTGGGACCAGCTGGTTGCTCACAAGCGGGTGCATGTGGCTGAGGCACTGGAGGAGGCAGCAGCCAAGGCCCTGGGCCCACGGCCTCGAGGCCGCCCAGCGGTGACAGCGCCCCACCCGGGAGGAGACGCAGTGGACCGGCCCTTCCAATGTGCCTGCTGCGGCAAGCGCTTCCGCCACAAGCCCAACTTGATTGCCCACCGCCGAGTGCACACAGGGGAGCGGCCGCACCAGTGCCCTGAGTGTGGGAAGCGCTTCACCAACAAGCCCTACCTGACCTCGCACCGGCGCATCCACACCGGGGAGAAGCCCTACCCGTGCAGTGAGTGCGGTCGCCGCTTCCGGCACAAACCCAACCTGCTGTCGCACAGCAAGATCCACAAGCGATCAGAGGGCTGCCCACAGGCCGCCTCGGGCACCAGGAGCGCCCAGGTTCCAGCTGCGGCCGCTGAGCCCTCAACAGAGCTGCATCCTGAGAAGCCGACCCCAGAGGCCGCTGAGCCCACACCCGAGGTCCCCCTGGAGCCCCCGCGGGATCAGGCGGAGGCACCCCAGTCCCTGTACAGCTGCGACGACTGCAGCCGCAGCTTCCGCCTTGAGCGCTTCCTGCGTGCGCACCAGCGGCAGCACAGCGGGGAGCGGCCCTTCGCCTGCCCAGAGTGCGGGAAGAACTTCGGCAAGAAGACACACCTGGTTGCGCACTCACGGGTGCACTCAGGCGAGCGGCCCTTTGCCTGCGAGGAGTGCGGCCGCCGCTTCTCCCAGGGCAGCCACCTGGCGGCTCACCGTCGCGACCACGCCCCTGAGCGGCCCTTCGTCTGCCCCGATTGCGGCAAGGCCTTCCGCCACAAGCCCTACCTGGCTGCGCACCGGCGCATTCACACCGGTGAGAAGCCCTACGTCTGTCCCGACTGTGGCAAAGCATTCAGCCAGAAGTCCAACCTGGTGTCCCACCGGCGCATCCACACTGGTGAGCGACCCTACGCCTGCCCGGACTGTGACCGCAGCTTCAGCCAGAAGTCCAACCTCATCACCCACCGCAAGAGCCACATCCGGGACGGTGCCTTCTGCTGCGCCATCTGCGGCCAGACCTTTGACGAGGAGGAGCGGCTCCTGACCCACCAGAAGAAGCACGACGTCTGAGAGGGCGGCTGGGTGACCTTCACGACAGGAGCTCGGCCCTGGCCCGGGGCACCTGCCTTGGCTCAGTGGAGGGGACAGTGGGAACCCCAGAAGGGATAAAAGAGTAGTGAGCTAGGCCCTGCCAGCCTGTGAGTCAAGCCTGTGGCTAGGGAACCCCCGGCAGAGCCAAAGGACCTGGCCTCCAGCTGGCGTTCCTAAGGTTCCATCCTAACTGTCCTGTGCTCTGAAAACCTAGCAATAGCCGCTCCATCTACCCTTAGAGCCCTGGCTAGAGGAGCCACCAGTGGGAAGGAAGCTGTTCCATCCTCTGGTGTTAACGCCTTAATGTCCCTGTCTTTACTATGAGTTACTTCAGGTCACTTTTGGAAGTAGGTGTGAAACAGTCCTTAGTAAATGAGGGAGGGAAAGCAGACCAACTGGATACACCTTGGAGAACCTGCCGGGCTCCATAGGCAGCACAGGGCTTTTTTTCAGCACTCAGGTGAGGGCGAGCTGCTCTTACCTGTCCCCTGCCCTGCTACCCCTACGTAGAATCCCAGATCTGGAGGGGCCCACCTGCTGTTAGCAAGTCCACTCTCCCTCCCCAAAAATGAGAGTCCCAAGGCATTTCCCTTTCCTGGCTGTTTTTCCTGACCTCCTGACGACCCTCTATCCCGAGCTCACTGTGTTGTTACAGGAAGGACTGGGCTCTTGATGCAGCCTAAGGGAAGGTCGTCCTGCATTTCCTTTTCAGCTATTCCAGCATGTGGATACCAGCCTCTGCCTGAGCACTGAGGTCACTGAGAGCTTCCACTTCCCGAGGCCCTGGTTCTATTGTAGGATGATTCTAATTGTTAGAAATTCCTCCTTATGATGATTGAAATCTGCTTTCCTATCATTTCTACCTATTGGGCCTTGTTCTGTCTTCTGGATCTAAACAGAACAACTGTTTACCTTCCTTTTCAAATTAGAGAATAAAGATTTGGTTTTAGAACCAGTTGGCTGGGAATGTTCCTTTTCCTGGAGGGCTGATTCTCTGGGTGGTACGGACTGGTTAGAGCTTCAGCCCCTACCAGAGGGTTGACAGCATGAACAAGAAGTAAGGGAAGAGGCAATTCTGAGCAGCAGAGGTGGTGGTCATTACACACACCCCACCCAGGTGGAAAGAGCTGCTGTGACTCCCGCAGGACTTGGCTGCTTGCTGCAGGTCAGACGCTTTGTACATCTCCCTGCACCGGGGCTTTCGTGCAGATCTGAGTGACTGTTTCTGTCAGGCATCATAGGCTTCTTTTGCTTTTGCTTTTTGGTTATGGCCTGTGTCAGTAATCTCTGCACTGATCCCCGGCATCCAGCACAGGCTGGTGCTTCAGAATAACCATTTGTTTATGGGGGTGGCACCTGGCACAGAAGTTCCCTTACGTCACCTTCTCATGATCCCTGTGTGGTAGGTGCTCGTTACCCTTTTATGCCTGACGATATTGCTCGTGGTCATGTAACTGGTAATCAAGACAGGTTGGGTTCAAAACCAAGTCTGGCTCCTGAACCCTTCACCTCTACCACGTGCTTTTTGGGTAAATGAATGTGCTGTTCTTTTGGTTGAGACAAATATTAAATACCTACTGTGTGACCCATGTTGTAATGGAAATCGAAGGTTTTCAGAAATAAGTCCTAATATCTACTCCTCTGGGGCCTGTGTCCAGAGAGGGTGAAGTTAGGTACATAAGTATGGAGAGGGTAGGATGGAAGCCAGCAGCTTCAAAGCTTTGTATTGGTTTATGGTGTTACAGAGCCATTTAAAAAACCTGTGTAGTTGAAGACAAATTAGATAATTTGCCCAGGGCAGAGGGCCTGGTCTCAAGCCCCACTCACATCTGTTCTCTTTGAGGCACCACAGGGCTTCCAGTGAAGGGGAGATGACCAGGAAAGAGTAGGTGGGCGGATGTCTGCAGGTGATGGGTAGGAAGGAGGGGACAGGTCCCTGGGTGTCTGGTTAGCGCTGGGCACTTGGGGCAAGCGAGAAGGAATCAGACCAGAGGTCCTGGCCTTAAAAATGATCATTTTAAGGGGAAATGGTATCTGGGGTATGGGGACAATGGCCCTGCCTGTCCCAAGTGCTTGCTCAGTGTTGTTCATCCCAGCTGACTGGTGGAGGGGGAGGACTTTGGGAAAGGAGGTCAGAGTTCTGTCATTAGGGGTTGCCCTTCTCTTCTGAAGAATCAATGGTTTTTCTTTTTCTACAGTTAGAAGAGTGTTAAATTATCCTTTAAAACTTGAAATAATGCAGACCCACTTACATATATATTTTAATGTAAAGTCCTGGATTCCCTCAGCCCACCCTCCCAAGTTCTTTCTCCTCACGCTGTAAGGAGAGTTTGAGGACTGTTCCAGATGTGTCTTCCTGTGATTTGCACACATACACGTGTGGTCACGTGTATGGTAATGGGAATAGGAGCCCAGATGTTTCATTTTCTACACTCCTGAAATGCCCTTAGTCGTGGAATGTCAATCTGGAGGAAGTCTTCACTCTAGAGGAGGAAATAAGCCTGGTGGAAGTGGCTTCCCAGGGTCACCATAGTTGCTGGTGTCAGAGCTGGAACTACCACACTGGTGTCTGAGGAGGGGTGAATCCCACACACCTTTGGGGCACCCCCTCCAGATACCGTAGAAGTTAATCGTGGGATGAGACCCCAAGAGTTGATGCTAGCGATGTATGGGCTCTCTATAGGGCTTTCTGTAGCCCTTTACAAGTGCCTCTAAAGGCTTAAAACCAAATGTAAGAGAATTCAGTAAGGTATGGAGGGACCTAGAAAACTGTTCTACAAATAAATAGCTTAAAGTTCAGAGAAAGAAAAGTATGTGAAAACTACATAAAATTAGTGGCAAAATGGACAATCTGTCCTTTTCCATCTGGCTTCTGAGGCGCAAGAGCAGCCAGGCTTGTGGCCCTGTTCTCAGCTGCTACCTGGTTGGCAACAAGTCCACCTGCTTCTCCGGGGCCATGAAGGAAGTCAGAGGCCCGGCTTCTGTTTGCTGGAGAATCCTGTCAGTGGGAGGCTACCCACTGTGTTCCCTTTGAGGCCGAAGTGAGAGGTCCTTCCCCTAGGGCTGGGTAGGTGAAAACGTTTTTTGTTTTTTTTTTTCCTGGAGGTCTTTGGGAAGTCAACACTCGCGATGGCCGAAAGTCAGGTCTGGATTGGCAGCTGGGAAAGGATTCCACTCATCTGAGCCCAGGTGAGCTGTGAAATCGGATTGACCCCGCTTCCGCAGCTAGGAGACGGGATGGAACGGGATCGTCTCCACGGCCCGTAGTGCAGGGCACTAAACACCCCGCTTGGTGACGTGGAGCAAGGCACAAGGCCAGCTCGCCACAAGCACACGCACGCGGGATCTGTGCACCTCGCCGCTGCACACGGCCAGGGCAGACGTGCGCTCGGGGGAAGCCTCAGAGCCGGTGGCTTCTCAGCACCGTAACGATTGTATGGGCTCGTGAGCTCCGACTTCAGTCCTTAACACGCGCGTGTGCGGGAAACAGGCGGGCAAGGTCAGACTGGCACCTGCGGCCACACAGCACCCGGCCTGGTACCCGCAGCTGCAGCACAGACTCTACCCGCGCGGTCGGCGCGCCCGCCGGCCAGGTTCAGCCCCCCGCTCCCGGCTATTGGTTCGGGAGAACAAAGGGGCCGCCCCGCGGGCTGCTCCGATAGGGCCAGGAGGGTCATCTGAGCCGCACAGCCAATTGCGTGGCTGGGCGGCCCGAGGGACGGCCAGGCCCATTAGCCAATCATTGGCTCATGCCCGCCCCGCCTGCCCCGGGACTGGCCAGGGTAGGGAGCCGGGTTCCCGAGACGCCCTCGGGGAGGCCGTTCCCGTTAACCTTAGCTACAAAGTCAAAGGTATTTATTTCCCCGGCCCCCTCCCTCCACTCCCTCTGCATTTCGGGCGGGGAGTGGCCGGGCGTGCGATGACCCAGCGCTGGCCGCGCTCCTCTCCGCGCCGCTTCACCCAGCTCGGGGGTGGGGAGACCTCCGCGCACCCCGAGCCCCGCGCTCCCCAAACTTTACCTAACTGGGGCGGGCGGCGGGGCTGGACATGGGAGCGGGCCCCGCGGACCCGAGGGAGAACCGCGGGTGAGCGGGGGCGGGGCTTCCCCCCTTGGCTGCCCGGTTGTCCTGAGTTCCTAGCTGGTGTCTGCCTCCTGGATAAACCGGTTTCTGGGGTTAGAAGCCCCAGAACTCGCTTCAGAGGGACTCGTAGGTTCTCAATAAATGCGTGATTGCAGGAGCGGGGATACAGATTGGGGGTGGAGAACGAACGGTGAGCGGGAAGAAACGCAGAAGTTGCAACTGTGTGCGTGTTGGGGTGGGGGATCCCCCAAACCTCCATTCCAGTAAAAGGAACAGCAGCCAGGTCTGGTAGGGTGAGACAGGGAGGGGCTCCTTCCTCTGTAAAGATGGGTAGGTGGCTGGGGGTATAAAGATGCCTCCTGAAGCCCTTAGGGCAAGATGGAGTCCAGCCGAGGCTGGGCCTGGGTGTGGTCAAAACCCCAGAGTTGAAGGCGAGTGACGTCCGGGTTCTACTGTTTATGTCCTTTTGGATCTCTAGTGTTCATCAATAAGGTGAAGAGATAGATAGCATCTGTGTCCTTTCAGCTCCAAGGTTCCGTGATTCCGTGCTTCTACTCTATTTTGTATTGCTTTTTTTTTTTTTTTTCCTGTTCCCTTACAACCATGTTTAGTAATGGTTTACCTCACACAGAGCTTGTACTTGGTGCTGGGGAGAGAGGAGCATCCCTGGTTCAGATGCCTGTCATCTGGCTGTGGAGACAGCAGCACCGATGATGACAGCTACTCCTTAGAATGGAACAGGGTTGGATGGCCCCTCAGGTCAAACAGAATGGGCTGTGATCGGCCTGATGGACCCACAAAGGCTTCCTGGGCAAAGTGCTCCTGATCTGGGCTGAGACCGGAAGAGCCAGGCAAGGCCATCTCAGGACCTGTATAGGAGGATGTGACAGGTTCAGGAGCTGCAACTGGGAGATGATGGAGTATGTTGGGGTGCAGTGGAGAGAGGTGACCACAAGCCAGGTTTTGAATGTCTTTGCCATGAAATTTTTTGTTTTATACCGGGGATCGAACTCAGTACTTTGTGTTTTCGAGGCAGGCACTGGAAGGCCAAGAAATTTTTAGATAAATCTAAAAGTGAATTATTTTACATAAAGCAGTAATGTCCACATTTCAATTTTAGAAAAATTGTTTTGGGTTCTGCGTGGTAGATGGATGAGAAGAAGCAAATTAGGCGATAAAATTGTTGAAGTCTTCTAGTGAGAATTAGCGACCCCTGAACTCACATGGGCAGTGGGCAATCTTGGGACTCATTAAAATGGCACTGGTAGGACTATGTTGGTGCAAGGTGTTTGCATTCTATGGTGGAAAAGATATGGAGATTTCAGGGTAGAGAGGAGTAGGGTGGGTGATGAGGGGGTACAGGGAGCCATGGAGAAGGGGCTGGGCATGTCCAATGCTGGGGTGTGGGGCTGGAGGCCACCTTGTCTTACTGGGTCCAGATATGGGACATAAACTGCTCTGTTAGGGGGAAGACTCTACAGACAGGAGCACAGCAAAAGCTGTGTCCAACCCTCTTCCTCATCAAGGCCTGATGGAGTTGGAGGTTATTGTGGAGCGCTGAGGGCCTGTGAGGATTCCAAATGGCTGGAAAGAGTCAAGGTTTATGAAGGCTAAGTAGCAAGAACATTTGCAAAGAGGCCTTGTAAGATGTGAGTGTGGGGTGTTCACAGACAGGGAGAGAAAACACACTATCTAGTTTATAGGGTTCAGAAAGGGTCATGATTCCAGACCTGCCTCGTTTGATTTTTTTTTTTTTTTTTTTTTTGGTACCGGGGATCGAACTCGGGTCCTTGTGCTTGCATAGCAGCCGGCGAAACCACTGAGCTAAGTCCCAAGCCCTCGTTTGATTCTTGTAACAAACCCTTGGAGAGAGTTGAAAGAGACAGTGACCTCCACTCTGGAACCTGAGGCTCAGAGAGCTGAAGTGACTTGTCAGGGACAAGCAGCAGGTTAGTGACAGGTGGGCTAGGACTCAGGGCTTCAGATTCCCACTCTCAGGTGGGACTTGTGCCTGATGTGTGTGTCTGGGAAGACCTTTGCTGCAGGCTTCGGGCTGCACTCTTGGGGTGGGGGTGGTGGGGGACTTGGGCTGACAATCTAGGCCTGTGGCAATTGAGGGTTACCCAAGGAGGCCAGAGGAAGACCCGGTACTTTCTGGTGGGCTGACTACCACAGGCCAAGCCCTGGGGGAGTCTCATGCTCTGCTGGGCTTGCTGGGCACTGTCTAGTTGTCTTTCCAGAACTTTCTGCCCCATGTCAGCTTCTCTGCAGCCCCCCACCAAGGCCTGTGCCACCCTCCCCCAAGCCCAGGTGACCTAACAGGTGACTGACTACCCAGAGCTTCCTGGCTCTCTCTGGACATGATGCTTCTGCCCTTGCATCCTGAGTTCTGTTTCTTGGAGCAAGGGGCCTTTGGATATTTGAGGGCACTGTCCTGACAGACTCACCCCTGTTTTCATGAGTGCTGCAGAAGGAGCTGTGCTGACATGGTTCCCATCGGCATGTTAGTGTGTCTGTGAGGTTTAAAAATCTATCCCATATTCTCTGTATTTACATATACACTATCCCCCCTTATCTTTGGTGGATATCTTCTAAGACCCCCATGGATAATACTGAACCCTGTATTTACTGTTTCTCCTATACATACCCACCTATGATAGAATATAATTTATAAATGAGGTACAATAGAAGAACAATAACTAATAATAGAATGGTTATGACAGTGTACTATTATAGATGTTATGTGAATGTTCTCTCTGATATTGGGGATTGAACTCAACGCCTTTGCACTGAGCTACAGCTCCAGTGCGCCTCCTCTGCCCTTTTAAAACTTTTTTTTTTTTTGTACTGGGGATCAAACTCAGGACCTTGCGCTTGCAGGGCAGGCGCTGTGCCACTGAGCTAAACCCCTGGCCCCTCTTTTTTAAAATTTTGAGACAGGGTTGTTTTTCAGGCTGGGCTCGAACTTTCGATCCTCCAGCCTCAGTCTTGCACAGTGCTGGGATTGCAGGCACGGGTCACCTTACCCAGCTGAGTCTCAGTAGTTTTGCATTTTTGAGCTTCTGTTTGCTTAGCTGGGTTTAGACAGGATGGTATCTGGGCGTGTGAGTGCACTGGTGTTTACTGTGTGCTGTCAGTCATATATTTGAAGTGAAAACATCATTGCTGTTACTGAAACTCATTTTCCAGGCAGAGGAATTGGCTCATCCTGAGGGATTTGTTGTTTGTGATGAAGGTAAGGGGCCATAGGAGTGACCTCTCAGAGTCCTCTGTTTGTTTAATGAATCAATTCCGTGTAGGTTGAACACCTGCTTATCAGGGTTGGGCAGGGCGTGGTCCCTGCCTTCCCGAAGCTTGCTTTCCGGGAAGACAGAAATGACCTTGACTGCTCAGCATTGGCCACAGGTGGCTAGGAATGAGAAATTGAATTTTAAGTTTAGTTTATTTGAATTTCAATAAGTTCACATGGCTCTAGAAGCCAAATCCCTGAAATCAAGTGGTCTTGGCTGCAGGCACCTCCTGAGTAAGTCACATTGTCTCTTTGGAGATGACAAGGTCGCCAAGAAAGCGCCTGGCTGGGACAGGGTCCCCCAACTTGGTCCTGGCTCTAGCACTTACTGGCTGTGTGACCTTGAGTAAATGACCTAGCTTATCTGAGCCACAGTCTCCTTAGCTGAAAGATGACGTAGGTGAAGCGTGCTGAGCTTGCCACACTTGGTCCTCAGCAGGTTGTAGCCCAGGGGTGCAGACTCAGCTGCCCTCGCCTGTCACCTTGCCCATGCTGACATGGCTGGCAGGGGGACGTGCAAGGAAAGCAGAACCAAAGTCAGGTGAGGCCTTGGCTCCTGGTGAAGACACTGTCCTACCTCACTGGTGACAAAGGATGTGTGGGGCACCACCACTTCCTTTCCTGGGGCCTGAGCTGTTCCAGAGCTGTGATTTGGGGAGACTTGAACAGGTCTCCAAGCTCTCTCTCCCTGGTCTGTGGCCTTGTTCCTCACCCCAGCTGCCAACTCTCTGCTGACACCGAAGCCCCTTTGTCATCCCCTGGTCTGGGCCTCACCACCTGCTCCTCTCCATGCAGCTCCCAGTTGTCAAGGCAGCTGGGCCTTCTCTTTGAGGGAGGGCTTCTCATCCCAACTGCAATCTGGCCCAGTGAGGACAAGCGGGAGGAAGTGGGAGGTGACTTGGGTGACCTCCTGAGACTCTGTTGCAGGAAGGCTGGGTCTGGTCCTGTGATAGACAAGGCTGTCTTCAGACCCTCGGAGGTGTGGAGGGGCATGCCTGCTCCTTCACTCTTGGGTTCTGCAGGAGCGTTCTGCAGGGCAGCCTGCTTCCTAAGTGTCTCTCCTCCCGGCTGCATGATGTCAGGGTGGGGCTGAGGAGGGCTGGGTGGAGCAAGAGGCAGCATGGGAGAGAAGGCAGCATGGAGGACCCAGAATGGATATCCACAGAGAGGGACTGCCTTGGCTTGGCATTGCCAGGGTGTGGCCTGAAGACTCACCCCGCCTGACGACACAGGTGAAAGTGGGTCCCTAGAGGAATGGCTGCCCTCCCCCATGCCTGTTCTCTCTGTGTCCCCTCTTGTTTCTCCCTTCATCCCTTTGGGTCCTGCTGCTGCTGCACAGGGCTGCTCTCCCTCATGCCCTGGACAGGGAAGGCCACCAGGCATCACTGGAGGCCATTCTGAGGCCCTACCAGCTCTTGGAAGCCAGAGTGGGTAAAGCAAGACTCTTGGGTTTGGTTTCGGGACCCCTAGGTGTGTTGCATAGGCTTTGCCTGACCCTCTGACCTTGTCCCATATTTGTGGCCCCAGCTTTGACTACCTGAGTCTGCTGATGTTGAGGCGGCCCCTTTCTGTGGTCCTCTGGCCTCTTTAGGTAGATGCTAAGTCTGCATGGCGAGAGGTGCCCAGCGGCACGGGATGCAAAAGCTCACACTCTGCCAGGGATTTAGTGCACGGGCGCTGCGCCTGCCTCACAGGGGCAAGGTCCTGAGTTCAGTCCCCTGTACTGGGGGAAGAAAAAGCTCACACTGGGGCTGGAGGGAGTCAGGGGGCAGCTGGGGGGGCTGCCTGACCCCCTCCATCCCCCAGCTGGCCTGGCATGGTGAGTGTCGCCCTCTCTTCCTGCTGCCATCTCTGGATCCTGTGTCCATGAGAAAGCACAGTAGGGGTGGTGCGCAACCCCTGCTGGGGAAACAGTTCAAACCAGTCCCTTGCCAACCTACAAACATTCTCTACAAAAAGAGAGAAAAAAGTAGGTTTGTTGGGCCGGGGATTTAGCTCAGTGGTTTCATCGCCTCCTGCTCAAGCGCAAGGACCCAAGCTTGAGGCCCGGTACCAAAAAAAAAGTAGGTTTGTTTTTTAAAACTGTATAAGCATTACCAGAATGTAATGTCACTTCGCGCAGTCTTCAGCCACAGAGGTGAACTGCACCCCATTGATCACCAGGCAGAGGCCACCCTGGCACACCTGTTCTCGAGATAAACCATAGCTGGTCCTCAAGCAAGAGGACATCAGGGCGCTATCTCGAACTCACGTGGGAACTGGGTGACCATCTGTTAGCCAACTGCCCTTATCCAAAAGAAAAATAAACTCCTATTCATATGACGGGAGGTAAGTTTGCAAGTTGGAGCCAGGCTCCTGCGTGAGTTAGGGTCCTGCCCTCCTGGGAGATGGCCTGGCTTCCTGTGTGTTTACATTTCAAAGCAGAGGCTCTCAGGTGCTCCAGGAAGACAGTCCTGCCTTGTAAAGCTGGCCAAGGGCTTTACAGAAGATTTACATATGGCTCAAAAGGACAGAGTCAGGCTTAACAATTAGAAGTTTGTAAAGAAAGTACTCTGAAAGATAGGAAGGTGTTCTTTTCCCTCTTTGCCCCCATGAAAGTCATTTTACTTTAGATTCTGGGTTTTTTTTTTTTTTTTTGGTACCAGGGATCAAACTCAGAACCTTGCACTTTCCAGGCAGGTGTGGTGCCAGCTAAGTCCCTGGCCCTTTATTTTAGATTCTTATACCTCTCTTTTACCTCTTGTTAGGATCTAGTTTTTTTCTTGTTGATGTTGTTGTTTTTTTCGTACTGGGGATTGAACCCAGGGCCTTCACACTGAGCTGTATCCCCAGCCCTTTTTTTTAAAGTTTTGAAACAATCTTGCTAAGTCACTGAGTTCCCCAAGCTGGGCTCAAGTTCATGATCCTCCTGCCTCAGCATCCCAGAATACTGGGGTTGTGGGTGTGCACCACCACAGCTGTTCAGGGTCCAGTTTTCCCATCTGGGTAGATGTCCTTAGAGTGTACTCAGGATGGGGACCTGGGGGAGAGAGGAAGAGGAGCATGGGTGTCTGTGAGGAAGCCAGCTGTCCCCACTGTGCACTTAGGAGGTGACAGCCACATCAAGGTAGTAGGCAAAGTGAGCCCATCTCTGAGCTTCAGTTCAAAGCCAGGCAGCACATGTATTATGCCACACGCATTTGTTAAGTGCCCTTGCTCGAGTGCCAGGCTTTGTCCTAGGCATCAGGGTTCATGGCTAAGCATGAACAGTTGCTGTCCTCATGATGGCAGGGACCATGCAGACAAGTGAACGGCATGTCAGAGGTCAGAGGGACCACTCTGGGAAGGTAACATCCCCTAGCCACCTTCCTTCTGAGCGTGAAGAGAATCAGTCAGGAAATGTTCAGAAGCTTGGCCATAAAATAAATGCTAATCACTCAATCAATCAAGTAGGGACTGGTGAACTGCTGTGTTCTGGTCCTGGGGTGGCTGTGACATGCCTTGGAAGGACTTGCACTAGAACATGGATGGGGACTTTGAAAGGGGCCACCAGCTTAGATAACATAGGGGCAGCTCTGCTTTCCAGTGGTGCTTTGATTTTCTGTTTCTCTGGCAGCACTGGGGATGAAACCCAAGGCCTTGCATGTGCCCGGCAAGCATTCTACTCCTGAGCCACACCCCAGCCCTTTCCTGAGGTCCCTGGCTCTCAGATGTCCTGTCTTTCTCACACCAATGTGATGATATTGAACATGTGGGAAGTGAGCTCTGGCCTGGGAGTTAGGAACCTGAGTTTTTTCCTTCCTGCCACTTCTGTGACTCTGGGCTTGTCCAGGGTCCTCTCTGGCCTATTTCTTCTTCAAACAATAGGAATTAGGCTGTTTTCACCTATCCAGCAGGTATGTGTGCAATTAAAGAGACCTCACACATCTGAACTGATAGAAAAGCTCATGGAAAAGAGATCACACGTTCTCCAATGGGGAGAGGGCCTAGGGAACAAGGTATCATCCTTGTCCTATAGGCCAATTCTCTTTCTTCACTTCCGTCTCACCCCTAGATGGCAGGGCAGGGATCCAGCCAGTGCTGACGCCGCTGCAGGAGATATCCAGGGATGGAGAGTGGCTGGCCTGGTGACAGCACAGGTAAGAGAGAAGAGGGAAGGCGGCTTCCTCCCCCTCCCAGGCCCACCTGCCCTTGTACCCCCCAGAGCTGAGACTAAGCTGCTGGATTTGCCCAGTGGCTTCTAGAATGTACAATTTCAGGGTGGAGACCAGGACTTTTGAAGGTCACCCAAAGTATAGAACAAGGACAGAAGCCATGGGAACAAAAAAATGGCAACGCCCAGTCCGTTACATACATGCCAAGAAGGGTACAAATCAGGGGTGTGTTTTAAGGTCTAGAGCGGGGAGTTAAGGGGTTCTGTTATTTCAACACAGCAAACTAACACCCTGGTAGGAAAGTAGGTTAAAACAAGCTGTTTAGGGCTGGGGGTTTAGCTCAGTGGTTTCACCGCTTCCTGCTCAAGCGCAAGGACCCAAGTTCGATCCCCAGTACCAAAAAAACCGAAAAACAAAAAACACAAGCTGTTTATTGGTCAGCAAAGTGTCTTCAGGCCTTTAGAGCTTCTGGGGTCACCCAGAGTTCAGGGTCTTTACTGGCCTGGATCCTACATCTCCCATGCAAGTACTTCCAGAGTGGAAAATTTTACAATCTGGTCATGCTCTTGGCCGGAGCCCACCCCCAGCAGCCCTGGTCCCTGTGAGCCGCTCTCCCTGTCCTCTCTGCAGCCCCTGTCCTGGTATCCTTGGGTCTGAGAACAGGTCAAGCCCACCTCAGAGTCCTGACCGAGGTTGACTCTGGGAGTTGCCCCATGGACCCCAGAACCCCTGCTTCATTGCCCCTGTGGGGAGAGCCACCTGCCCTCCCAGGAAAATCATTGCAGTAGCCCTAAGACTGAGAAAAAAATTAGGCAGTAAGGAGGAAAAAGATAGATGTTCCTGGCAAGCTCCAAAGGCAGCAGTGTGATTTGTAGAAACCACCCATTCCGCACTGGGGCCTGACACCAATCCAGCTTGGCCTCAGCTGGAACCCCAGCCTCTACAGGATGCAGACATTAGGTAATTACCAAAAAGCCTAGAGTATGCATGCCAAATGCTTCTGGAGCAGGACCCTTTCCCCAGGTAGCTGGGGGCAGCTCTGCTTGACATAAGACACAGAGGCCAGAGCCCTCTGTCCTCCCTAGGGAAGCTCCTGAGGTGAGCCTTTAGTTTCAGGGAAGAGTTTGAGAAACCCTGGCCTGAATCCTAGAGTGCTGGGGTACTTGGGGGCCCAGGGGCCAGCCCTGGGCTGCAGCTGTGTTCTTGCAGCTCCTTAAGCTGCTTGCCTGCTGAATTTATGGAGTGGCTGGTTGTAAAGAGCCATGTTTGTCAGATAATTGAGAACTTATCTATTTTATTTATATATTTTTTGTGGTGCTGGGTAGAACCCAGGGCCTCCAGCAGGCTAGGCTAGAGCTCATCTACTGAGCTACATCCTCAGCCTCTCTTTTAGTTTATATATATTTTATGTGATTTTTAGGATTGTGGCAAACTGTATGTAACATAAAGTTCACCATGTTAACCATTTTCAAATGTACAGTTCTTTAACATTAAGCACATTAATAATGCTGTGAAACATCACCATCATCTACTTTCAGATCTTCTTATATCACCCCAGGAACTCCGTACCCATTGAGTAATAATTCCCATTTAGCACCTTCTTATTTTACCTGAACCATTTAAAATTGAAAACAGCTGGGTGTGGTGGTGTACATCTGTAATCTCAGCACTCCCGGAGGATCACAAATTTGAGCCCAGGGGCCGGGGATTTAGCTCAGAGGCACTGCACCTGCCTCGAAAGCACGAGGTCCTGAGTTCGATCCTCCGTACCAGGAAAAAACAACAAAAGTTTGAGCCCAGCCTGGCAATTTAGCAGCTTAGGCAGATCCTATCTCAACATGAAAAGTAAAGAAAAGAGTTGGGGATATAGGTCAGTGTGACGGCCTTGGGGTTCAATCCTCAGTATCACAATCAATAAAAGATAAAACATTGATTTTTGTGATCATTGAGGAGCATTCCTTGTAAGCCAGAGGCTGAGTATCAATAACTGAGCCATAGGGGACTGTGCCCTAGGACAGGCTTGGGTTCAAGCACACCTCACTCCAGTTTTGGGACTTTCAGGGACCTGTGCTGGGCTCGTATATGCCCCATGCCCTTTGCAGGTGGACATACAGACTTTGTCCTGGTGTCCTCAGGCTTTTGGGGACAGGGACATCTTTTGATCTGGAGGAGGTAGCCTCTGGTCAATATTAATGCCAAGTTTAGTCAGGCCAAGCAGAGATGAGGAGAGCTCTGGGCCAATGATAGATATTGGGTCACTCAGGGACACGGTCCCTTTCTGCTTGAGTATACTTTGTATTTACCACCAGAGTGCCAGTTTGGACACCTAGTGCCTTAAATACTTCTGTTGGCCAACAGTCAGGTGCAGCTAAAGAAACATCCTTATAATAAGTTACACATGAACTGGGTATCCAGTTCTTGCTAATATGTAATTTAAATAATCATTTTTGTTTTCAAATTATGACTGTTAATAAAATGATTTTTCATGACCAAGCCCTAGAGGAGGCAGATGGAGTTGTTTGGCCAGGAGGAAACCAGGTCCCTTAAAGGCTCTTCACATGATCCCCTCCCCTATGGAGGCCTCTGAAGACCATGGAGTAGGTGGCACCTTTGGTCCTACAACTAAAGGCTACCTTATTTCTTTAAAAATTATAAAGCTTTAAAAATTATTAATACTTGGGCTGGGGATTTAGCTCAGTGGTTCTGCCGCTTGCCTCAAAAGCGCAAGGACCTGAGTTTGACCCCCGGTACCAAAAAAAAAAAAAATTATTAATACTTGACCAGGCTAGGGATTTAGCTCAGTGGTGCCGCTGCCTGCCTCACAAGCTCAAGGTCCGGAGTTCGATCCCTGGTACCAAAAAAAAAAAATTATTAATACTTAAATATTCCCGTACAAACTGAAACAACACAGATAAAGTGAAGTCCCCCTTTGACCTCTCAAGGTTCATATGCGTGGAGAGACATCAAGTTTTATCTTTCATAAAGTGGATCAGATGATTCATACTGGTTTTTTGCTCTCCCCCACTCCCTACCGGGGATCGAACTCAGGATCTTGAGCTTGCCAGGCAGGTGTGGTACCACTGAGCTACATCCCTGGCCCTGCTCTTTGATTTCTCCTAAAATGTTCCAGAAGTTTTTTCCACGTTGGCATATATAGTTCTTTCTCAGACTTTTCAGTTGCTGCACAGTATTTTATATTATGAAGGAGATGCTAGTGGCTGTGCCTTGAGATATCCTTGCTCCCCCCTTCTCCCCTTAGGTAGTTCCATGTATATTGTAAGGTACAGATAGTGTCCATTTTCCCACTCTGCTTGATATGAGAGATGAAAAGATGCTACACTGTTTATTTTGCATTTTGCCAACCAGTGAGGTTCAATCTTTTCATCATATCTATGTGAGTCTTTTATATATTCTAGATATATCATTTATCATATATTGGCACACATTTTTCCTAAACTTGTGCTATCCATTGTATATCTGCTAGCCCATATGTCTGTATAAGTTTAAATTTAGATTTAAATTAACTTCAATAAAATAAAAAAATTCCTAGATGCTGGGAATGTCCTCTTGAATTCCTTTTTTTTGGTACCGGGGATTGAACTCCGTCCTTGTGCTTACGGTGCAGCAGGCAGCGAAACCACTGAGCTAAATCCCCAGCCCTCCTCTTGAATTCTTAATGGAATCTGTTTATACAGTCCTGTGGCTTATTGCCCATTTAGGGTGGAACTTTGGCTTTCTTTTCACTCTCTTCTTTTTTTTCCTGGTACTGGGGATTGAGCTCAAGACCTTGTGCTTGTAAGACATGCACTGCGCCACTGAGCTAAATCCCCGGCCCAACTCTCTTCTGATTGTTCATTATATAGTCAAGTTTCCTACCTACTCTTAAGTCAGTTTCAATTTGTTTTCTTGCAAAATGGTCCATCATATAGATTTTCAAATTTATTGATATAAAGGCTATACGTAACATTTTAAGATTTTTCAGAATCCTTTTTGTACCTCTGTGTTCCCTTTATAGTCTCTGTTTTTATCTTTATTAATACCTTCCATGTATTTCTTTGGGTTTCTTTTATTGTCTTTGTAATGTTAAAATCTGTTACTTAAGAGATTTTTCTCAACTGTATTGTTCCACTACCTTTTTATTCAGTGTAAACTTTTGTTATGTTTTGTTTTGAGACAGGGTCTCTCCATGTAGTTCAGACCAGCCTTGAACTCACTATGTAGCCCAGGCTGGCCTTGAACTCATAGCAATCCTCCCTCAGCCTCCTGAGTGCTGAGATTACAGATGTCCACCACCACTCCTGGCTGAATGTGAACTTTTTATTGAAGTATAACACACACAAAGATAAGTGCATTGATTGCAAGCTCTGTAAATTCTCATGAAGTGAACATACCCACGTAACCAGCATCCACACCAGGGGACAGCATTGCCCGAACCCCAGAACCCATGCCCTTAATGTGCCCATCACCCTGACTTCTAACTCATGGATTAGTTTTCCAGATTTTGCTCTTCACATAAGCGGAATCATATGGTGTGTATTCTTTAGGGTGTAAAGCAGACACTTTCTTTATGGCTCCCTGTGTCCCTGAGCTAGGCAGGTAAAGCACCTCTAGACCTGTGCACTGCAGGTATGAGAGGTGGCTTGGAGCAGTGTGGTGTACTCTCCTTAGTAAAGTGGATTAGGGTTAATACAAGGGCATCATAACACCTCAGTGTTGGGTGCTAATGCCTCAGTTCTGTTGGTTTTGTTGACGAAAGGGAGATTGCCAAACTGCAGGGGGCTAGCAGGTCTGTACACCATGGCTACCACCCTAGCTACTGAAGGACCAGTGGTGCCCTCTGTTTTGAGGCTTGGCCTTTTCTCCTTGCTGCCTGGGGACTTCCTGGAGACTTCCTGCCTCTTTTCCTTAAGTTCTCTGCTTGGGGGACCTCTCCTTGTCCATGTCCTTGAGCCAGTCACTTTTCCTTCCTGAATTTTTCGCTTTGCTCTCCACACCTCTGCCTTTTCTTCCTTCCCCTACTCCCTTTCTTTCCCAGTTTCTTTCCATCTAACAACTCTTTGCCTCCCCTCCAGCTCTTCTTCCCTTACCCCTTCCTTTCTCCTCTTCTTCCACCCCATCAGCAGTCGCTGACCTCTCCCTTTGACCCTAGCAGGAGATGGACTGATAATGAAGATCAAACAAGAGAAGCCAGAGCGGTTGCTGGAGACACTGGTGGGGCAGGCCACGCTCCCGGAGAAAAACAAGGAGAACATCTGCCAGCAGCAACGGGGCCTCCAGTCATGCCAGACCATGGGGCGGCCGCGGGCGCTGGGGGCACAGGAGGAGCCCGGGCGTCCAGTGTGCATTCCTCCCCCTGATCCCGATGGGAGGCTGCCAGGCCGGGCCCCAGGGACAGCCACGGGCCCGCTGAGCCCTGCACTTTCTGTGGGTGAGGGTCACTTTGTGTGCGTGGACTGTGGGAAGAGGTTCAGCTGGTGGTCGTCCCTGAAGATCCACCAGCGCACTCACACCGGGGAGAAGCCCTACCTGTGTGGCAAGTGTGGCAAGAGCTTCAGCCAGAAGCCCAACCTGGCGCGCCACCAGCGGCACCATACGGGTGAGCGGCCCTTCTGCTGTTCAGAGTGCATGCGGCGCTTCAGTCAGAAGCAGCACTTGCTTAAGCATCAGAAGACCCACACCCGCCCCGCCACCCACTCATGTCCGGAGTGTGAGCGCTGCTTCCGCCACCAGGTGGGCCTGCGGATCCACCAGCGTGCGCACGCCCGGGACCGCCAGGGCATGCGCGCTGGCCTGCAGGAGGCGCTGCGGGACACGGCGGTGCGCAGTGCCTGTCGTCTGCGGTCCAGGCTACAGAGAGGGCGGCCCGAGTGGGCCTGGCTAGGGTTGTGCCAGGGCTGGTGGGGCCAACCCAGGGCCTGGACCTCAGTCCCCGGCACCCCAGGACCTGGCGGGGAGCAGCGCCAGTTCATCTGCAATGAGTGCGGCAAGAGTTTCTCCTGGTGGTCGTCGCTGAACATCCACCAGCGCATCCACACAGGCGAGCGGCCCTATGCCTGCCCCGAGTGTGGCCGCCGCTTCAGCCAGAAACCCAACCTCACGCGGCACCTGCGCAACCACACCGGGGAGCGGCCGCACCCTTGCCCGCACTGCGGCCGAGGCTTCCGCCAGAAGCAGCACCTACTCAAGCATCTGCGCACGCACCTGCCGGGCGCGCAGGCGGCACCGTGCTCCCGCTGCGGGCAGAGCTGCCCGAGCCGCGCCGCCCTGCGTGCCCACCAACGCGTGCACACCTCCGAGCTCCTGCGCCCTGGGCCCATGCTCTTGGGCAGAGAGTTGTGCTCCAAGCCACCCACCGAGATCCCGCGGGGCCTGGACACGCAGCCCCGCAGTCCTCAAGGGACCAGGGGTGAGCTGTGCGGCCGGGGGCGCTCGGGCCTGGCAGGCCCCAGTGAGCAGCGCCAGTTCATCTGCAACGAGTGCGGCAAGAGTTTCTCCTGGTGGTCGGCTCTCACCATCCACCAGCGCATCCACACGGGCGAGCGGCCCTACGCCTGCTCTGAGTGCGGCCGCCGTTTCAGCCAGAAACCCAACCTTACTCGGCACCAGCGCAACCACACCGGGGAGCGGCCCTACCTGTGCGCTGCCTGCGGCCGTGGCTTCCGTCAGAAGCAGCACCTGCTCAAGCACCAGCGCGTCCACCGTGGAGCCCTGGCACCCAGGCCCCGTGCCTCCCAGGAGGAGGAGACGCTGTAGTGTGCAAGGTCCTGAAGCCCGAGGCAGAGAGGTCATGTGTGGTGTGTGTGGGGACCCGAAAGGGCTGGAATGCTGCCACTTCCTGTGAGACCCACGCAGAAGGTAGTTCTTCCAGGCACTGAGGCTTGAGAACAGAATTCCAGCAGCATCTTGAGGGCACCTGGCACAGTGCCCGGGTTGTGCTGAGGGAGGAGGTGAGATCTGCACTACCCCTGGAGTCTGGGCACCTCCAAGAGGTGGACCTCAGGCCTCTCAGGCTCTGGTTGAGGAGGGTGTTGGGGTCCCCAAGAGAGGCTCCTGGTGTGAAATGGCCAGGATTGGTCAGGTGTATCCCTGGCTTCCCACACAGGCGGCACAGTAGCCTGGGGACTGCCCATGAGACAGTGGCCACAGACTCTGGAGACCAAGGATGGAGCAGAGGCAGTGGATAGGGAGGGGCAAGCATATTCCCAACACCAAGGACAGTGTTCACCCCTAATGACCATCCGGTAAATATTTCTGGAGAGCTGAATGGTTTGGTGGTCCTTGTCCAACACTGTGTCCCCTATGCCCAGGGTGCTGGGGATAGTCAGTGGCTGGCTGTGACTGACTTGGGCCCTTATCCATCCAGGAGTTGCAGAAGAGAAAAACGAAGGACTGACTATTCCGCACGCTGTCATTGTCTCTGAGCCCCCCTTACTGAAGCCCGGGTCACACAGTGCTCGGGTGGATCCATCTGCCCAGAACCGGGGGAGGGAGCTTTTGCCCTGACCCCAGCAAGGCCCCTCTGCCAAGTGCTTGTTCAAGGTGGGGGACAGTTTCTCCCCTCTTCTCCTTCAAGTCCATTGGTATCTGTTCAAACTCGGGTCTTTGCGCTTGCGTAGCCGGCAGCGAAATTACTGAGCTAAATCCCTGGCCCATCCTGGTCTTGTTCTTTGATTACGAACTCTGAAATCCCACACTGAGCAAGTGTGCTGGGGTCATTGCACCTGTGAGCTCCGCTCTTAGGATCAACATGACGCTAAACTAGAGGGGTTTTCCCGGGTACCTCTGACCCATGCCAACCCTAGGTTCCCCCTGCCTCCCCCCTCAAGCCTGCCCATCTCCTGCAACTCCTATCCCAGGCTGCTCTGCCCTGGCCAGAAAGTCCCCAGTGCCCTTGGTTACATTAAAACCTAATCTAGCCATGGAAGACACTCCAAAGTCATTTGCTTCTTCTTCTTTGCCACTTAGCAAATCCTGAAGCCATTCTTAGCAAGCTCACCCACTCAAGGCAGGCATCTCTGGGTACCGCCATTCACTCCTGGATGGGAGGCACTACCTGCAAGATTGGACTGGCAGAAACTGGATCCTTGCAGTCAGGTGGTGCAGGCAGATGCTGAAGAGATTGGACTGACAGGGGTATCTTACAACAGAATGTGTTCTCTTCCACACATGGACTGTGTTTGATGATAAATCAAAGTGTAATGTTGGTAGAACTGGGAGTGAATGAGGCCTAATTGCAGCTCCCCTCCTGCAAATTCATGATGCCTGCTCACTTTCCCTGGGTGACCAACACACACTAGTTTGGGTCATAAAGGGGCAGGGTCAAGTCCCCTAGAGTGATGAGATACCAATATGTGTGCCCACTGACCAGGTCAGGCCTAATGTGTGCCACGCATATTGCTAGACTTCTGCCATGAGTAAGATACTGTCTCTGGCTTTGAGCTCAGAGATCTTCATGGAAAATCATTTTGATAACATGCATGGCTTGGAAAATCTATGTTTAACTTGGGGCATCTCAGCAAGGCTTTCTTTCTCACGTGGTCAGTGATGGTAGGGCAGTGATGTTGCCATCTATAGGAAAACAGGGCTGGGCCAGTGTGACTTGTCCTCTGCTGCAGACGGATGGTAGGTCCCAGGCCTCCTGTTATCCTGCGTCCAGTGTCGAAATCCAAGAATCCAAGGGCTTCTCTAAGAATGCCAGGGCACTATCAATTCCAGTTTTCATTCCCATTCATTTTAAAGTGATAAAACTGGGTCAGAATATTTCAGAAGAGACATCTCATAAAATAAGACAAGATCTGGGCCAGGGATTTAGCTCAGTGGTTCCAGCGCCGTTCTCAAAAGCGCAAGGTCCCAAGTTCGATCCCCGGTACCAAAAAAACAGAAAAGAAAAGAAAAGAAAAGAAGACAAGATCACACTTGTTATCCTAGTGTCTTCCAATTTTAAGATACAAAAACAACCACAAGTACATAAAGATCTTAAAGGATTCCTATCCTGTTCATTGTCAGGCTTACACCAAGCCACATGCACTGGGGTTTCTGGAGCGCCTTTGTTCTTTTGTTAGGAGCAGGCTTGGGGCTAAGAAAAATGCCCTAGGTACTCAGACAGGGGCTGTCCTTTGGCAAGCAACACGAACATCAGGTCTGCCAGTGAGGCCGTCAGGCTCCTTAGGGCTTGGTGCCTGTTACCCGGCCCCACGGGTGTCCCCATGTGCACAGTCAGCCATGGGGATCTGGCAGAGGAGAAGGGGTCAGAGGCCAAGGAGCAGCTGCTCAGCATGCACAGGTGCACTGACCGAGGGACAGAGTGGGTCAGGTACCCAGTGGGGGCCTGGCTGAGAAACTGGCAAAGAAAGGAATGCTTCTGAAACCTTTTATTATTTTTAACATGGTTTACATGTTAAAAGTGGTTTACCCATGGTTGGGTAAAGAAATACCTTTGACCTTTTGGCAAAAGGAGGAATGTTGAGACCAAAATATTATGTTCTCACTTATCACTGTTTTCCCTGGGTGCAGGTGGGGATAGCACAGAGAGGAAACAGGTATCACTTAGGTTGTCCCTTAGGCTAAAGAGGGTATGAGCACCCAGGTTTGATGGGAAAGGCCAGCGCTATCCAACAGCACATTTTGTGACGATGAAATGTTCTATGTCTATGCTTCTAGTACCATTCCCACTGGCTAATGTGGCTGTTCAACACTTAAAATGTGGCTGGCGTGGCTGAGAAACTGGATTTTAACTTTTCTTTCATTTTAATTAATTTAAATGGCTACACTTGATTATTGCATAGTACAGCCCTAGGAATGGTGTTCCTATTGGCAAGAAGCTAGAAGCCTTATCTTCCCTTCCTTTCCTCCCCTCCTTTCACTCATGGCCCAAATCTAAAAAGGCCTTTGGTTTTTTTGTTGGAAGTACTAGTCAGATGGTTCTGGCTTTTGCCATTTAAGTTATGGGACCCTGGTAAGGTATAATAATAACTACCATTTATTGAGTGCTGGGCATTCACAAGCATGAAATATATGGTAGCTGTTATTATTATTTTAAATAAATTCCGTGTGTAAGCCATGCATGAGACACACACCTATAATCTCAGCATTCCTGGAGGCTGAAGGAGGAGAACCACAAGTTTAGGCCCAGCAACTTAGTGACTTAGCAAGACCCTGTCTCAAAATAAAAGTGCCAGGAATGTAGCTCAGTGTAAAGGCATTCGGTTTGATCTCCACTACTGCAAAAACAAACAAGATTAAATAAATAATCACAATGTATACCTAAAATGTACCAATAAACTTAATGAATTAAAAAAAGATTAAATAAAGGCCACTCATGTCTGCTTTCAGAGCATGTATGTTTGAGGAGAGAGAAGAAAATGTTTGTCCCCCATTTAGCTAAGTTGTTGTGAGCGTGAACTGTTGCCTGGGTTAAGCAGGCCTGCCACAAGTTAAAGGTTTGGCTTAATTGATGTTGTAGGTTGTGTATTGGGTTTTTTTTCTTTCTTTTTTTGGTACCAGGGATTGAACTCAGATCCTTGAGCTTGCAGGGCGGGCGGTGGCACCACTGAGCTAAATCCCTGGCCCTGTATTGGGTTTTAATTCTAAAACCTGGATAAGTGAGACCTCACACCAAAAGTTCCATATCTTCACTCTGGTCTCTGCAGCCCCTTCCAATTCTCAAAGTTGTGACTGTGGCTACAGCTTAGCCTGCACCTCCCCATGTTTGCATCAGCATACTTGGTGCCATATTTCTCCTCTCTAGCTGCCCACCTGAGCTGTCAGATATAGGTTGGAGACATCCATCCATCCATTCATTCACTCAATAGACACAGACTGAGGACCTATTATATCCTGGACCCTTAGGCTGCAGGGACGCTAAAAACACAGTCCTTGTCCTCTGAAGTTCACACCCTGATGGGAATAACAAAAGTGTACTGAATTCCAAGTCTGAGGGCAGCACCGGGTGCTTTGGAGAGAGATATGAGGGACCACTGTCTGATCCCTGGGAACAGGAGGAGCTCATGAGGGCAGGGTGATTCCCACTCCAAGTGCAGAGGCTCTGTGGACTCAGCCTTCTGCAGGAGGAGCTGTAGGATGGGCAGAGAAGGGTCTGAAGCTTGCCCAGGGTCATCCATTCAACTAGTGTGTTCCAGAATGAACAAAGGGCAGGGCTCTGGACATGGCTTGGTGAGCTGTCCTCTCATCTGTCCAACAGGAGCCACAGGCCAGTGGCTCTGCAGGGTGCCTTGGCTGTGGGCAGCCCAACCTTGGTATGGTCCAGAGTCCAGATGCCTTCTGGGATGGTAGTTAGAACATGCTGGCAACATCCAGCCTGGAAGCAGCAGCGGGACTTTGTGTGTGCAGAATGCCTCCGCACTGGTTCATCCATGAGGATGGGATGGGGGTTGGGAGAGGCAGGAGGTACATGTGTGTGAAACTAGAGAGGTGAAGCGACAAAGCCAAAATCACAGTGGCAGATCAGAGAGTGGAAGCCCTTGGTCCTTGACATTCCCCACAGAGACCCAGGGCTTTAGGTGACATTTAGGTGGCATCCACTCCCCAGCTGTATTGTTTTTAATTTTGGTACAGCTCAACTAGAAGGTGCTGCTAAATATATGGTTGCCACCCTCAAATGTATTATTTTGCTTTTGAAATCCTTGGTCTTCACAGAGTGTCCCCATTTCTCTTGTGGCCTGTGGGAGATATGAAAACCTGTTGTCCTGGCTGGTGACAACTGCAAGAGGAGCTGGAGTGCTGGGAGGTGTGGCTGTCCTCAGGGGCCAGGAGGTCCTATTGTCCCTGCCATGGGAAGTCTGAACTTGTCCCTGGGATAAACATTGATCCTGACCCAACATCCTCTCCCTGCTGCCTCTATTTAAAACACCACTCTCTTTGGGATGTGTGATGCACGTGCCCAGGGACCTCACTGAGGTACTGCAGGAGCAATGGGAAGGGGAAGCCAAGGATGGGTCAGGCTGGGCTGGCTGGGACCTGCTGGCCACCACATCCAGTGTCTGTGCATGGGGCTGACTTGCTGCCTAGGGCCCTCCCCTGGGATGTTTTAGTCCTAGTGTCGGAAAGGCACGGGGAGCACCTGTGGGACCCAAGTGAGGCAGGAGTCTTCATGACCCTGGGACCCTGAGTTGCCCAAAGTGCCACACTTGCAGCCATGCCTACCTATTTCGCCAAAAGGGGCTCTGCCTGGGTCTTGGGGATCCCGACGACCCCTTCTTCTGGCAGCTACTGAAGGGCCACAGTAATGTAAAAATTAAATAAAGCTCATTTAATGTTCTTCTAGCACTTGTAACTTTAAAATCACTTTCCTTCCCGTTTATCTGTCAAGTGTGAATTCTGAGCCGCTCAGACAGGGAGGGGATTACTTCCACTCAGTCCTCACGGTCATTTTTCTTTTCTGGTCTATTGAGAAGGGTCTCATGTAGTTCCAGCTGGACTTGAATTTATTATGTAATCCAGGCTGGCCTTGAATTCCAAGCAATGCTCCTGCCTCAGCCTTGCAAGCGCCAGGATTACAGGCATGGGCCCCCACATCCAGAATCATCACATCCTTTGTGTCCGGGGGTCTTGCCGGGAGTCTGGAGCCCAGCAGAGTGCAGTGGGATACACCAGGGTTATAAGGCTGCCTCTCCACCTGGGCTTTGCCACTTAAGAGGTGCAGTCCTTGGGGGAAGCCACTCTGCTTTATTTTATTTTTCCCGTCTATAAAATGGGATAATAACAGCTGCCCAAGGGGACTGCACAGCGTTATTGGAAGTTCCCATGAGATAATACACGGGGAAGGTGTGTAAAAGGCAGAGGCGTGCACAGGTAAGGGGTGTTATTATTTAATGGCAGGGGGACCTGGAATTTAGCCTGTCACACCTGCTGCTTTTCCGGGTGTTCCAAGCTGCTCTTTCTTGGACTGTATTCAGCTTGACCCCAGAGGACTCAGTGCCACTCCTTCCCCCGTCCCCTCTGGCCATCCTGGTGACAGGACCCAGGCTCTGTAGGAGGGGGCTTTGCCAAGGCTGGCGTGAAGGCCCACTAGCTCTGTGTTTCTGCCCTGTGGGGTCTCCCACACACGAACTCCACACTCCGAGATGCTCCACAGCCGGGGCGCCTGCGGTTACCGCCTTTCCTCTACTCAAAGAAGGGCCCTACCTCCAGCTCCCTCATCCTGCTTCCCAGTGGCTGGGAGCATCAGGCTGGGGGTCCTGGGGAGCCCACAGCCGGCCCCCACCCGGCCTCCTCTTCTGCTTGAGCAGGCGCAGCACTCACAGCCTTCCTTCTTCTGCCGCCAGGTTGTCTGCGAGTTGGACCTCCCAGCCTCACGGGGCAGCTGTGCGGCTGCGGACATCGCGACTGCGGCGCTGCGGCAGGGACGAGGCCGGGGAGGCGGTGCCGTGTGAGTCCCTGCCGGGCGGGCGGCGACGGAGGCTACCGTATTTCCCGAGGCCAGTGCGGGACCCCGAGGGGCGGGTCACCGCGGGCTGCTACCGTATTTGCGGAAGCCGCGCGGTCCTCGCCTGGAGCGGAGTGCCGCGGCTTAATTACGTGTTTACCCAGGGTGGCGGCAAGGGTCATTGGGGGCGCTGCGGGCGCGGGGGGTGGGTTGCATCGGTCTCCCCAGGAGCCGAGGCTGCAGTGGGGCAGGAGGGGCTGCAGCTGGGTGGTGGCCTAGGCGTCTTCTCGGGGGCGGGGCTGCGACGCACGGGGGACCGTGTAGCTGCAGGTCGCTGCGGCCGCAGGAGTTGGCGCGGCTATGCGCAGGGTGTCTGTGGGGTGCGGGGAGAGCTCTGGATTCGTGCAGCTGCTCTGCAATCGCAGGGTTGCGGGAGGCTCCGGTCTTTATGGGGGCGGGGAGCAGGGGCTCGGGAGTCGCTGCGGGAGCCGCACTGTGTTTGCGTCGCACAGCGCGGACTCTAGAGGAAAGCGCCGCCGCTGGAGACCCTGGGAGGAGCTGGGGCGCAGCTTGGGCTGTGAGTGTGGCCCGAAGGGAGAACTTGAGGGAAGGACGGGGCCGTGGCCTTGGGCCTCCGGGGAAGGGGGGCCCTCAGTCGGGGGGTACAGAGAGGAGAGACGACAGGCCGCCCAGCCAGGGCCAGGCCGAGGTCGACGGAGGGACGGTCATGGTCCATCTTTGCAAATGTCAGCGCAGCTGCCTGGGGAAAGGCTTGTGGGTGGGGTCCGTGGCCAGGGTACTTGTCCTTTACCCAGGCTGACCGAGCACCTGTTCCCCTTGGCTTGAAGGTCAGGGAAGACACACGGCGTGTCTGTGAGAGCTCACTCTGCAGGTGCATGAACGGAGGCAGCAGGTGCAGAGAGGGCCTGCAGAGCGTGGGGGGGGGCAGCCTCCCTGATGGGGCTCGGAATGGGTGGAGCCCCCATGCCTGGGAGTTCTTTTGGAGGGCTTGGGAGTGGTGGCATTAAATAGTGCCCCTATCGGAGCAGTGGCCTTTTGGGAATGAGTGACCCTACAGAGGCTGGGATGGGGGTAGTGGGCTCCTGTGTGCGTGCGTGCGTGTGTGTGTGTGTGTGTGTGTGTAATGGTGCCTAGTCGGTGGGCAGGTAGTACAGTGAGAAGAGCTTTCAACAGTGAGTCATGAGACTTGGGGCCTAAGTCACCTTGTTGTGTGACCTTGGGCAAATTTGTTGACCTCATCAGGCCTCAGTTGCCCTACTTATAAAATGGGGCTCACCTGCCTGCTGTGCACCTTTCTCAGGGCTGTTGTGAGGGGTGCTGTGACCTGGGAAGGGGATCCTTGGAGGACCAGGAGAAAGGACCCAGGTGCTGGGCTGTTTGTTGCACTTTGAGCGTGTGGCTCAGCCTGGGGCCAGGCTTCGCTCTGGGACCCCAGGAGGAATCAAGCTGAGACTGGTCCTCTGTCCCACAGTGTTCAGTGCCTTGTAGCCTTTTCAACCCAAACCCCATTATGATAGAGACACTGCCTTTAATGTTTAACTCAGCAAAGTCCTATCAAGTTTACAGGATTTTGTTTTTGTTTTCTGCTGGAAGCTTTGCAAAAATGTCTTTATACCATCGATGACCCCACCCTTCCCTCCAGCTTTGGGGTGCACTTCCCTCCACCTCTCCTTGAGAATCTGGTTGGAGATATAGGATATTGTCCAGGTGAAAGATTACTTAAAATACCCAGAGCCCATGAATATCCCTTCTGCATGTGTTCCATGCCTTTGTGTGCTGGCAGTGCTCGGTGCTGCAGTTAGGAGAAGCTGGCACTATCTTGATGGTGAGGGTCTCAGGGTTGGATAGCAAGGCTCAAAGAGAAGCTGGAAGAGTCAAGTCAGGCTTCTAGGAGGAAGTGGCACTTGAGAAAAGTCCAGGGCAGTCTGTGATTAAGGGATAGAGGGGCAGGTAAGGGGAAGTCTGGCAGGAAGAAAATTGTGTCAGAAGTTGAGGAAGGTGAGCAACCCCTCGGGCTGGGCGTTGGCTGACCCTCTGGTCCACTCTGACCCCTCTCTTGCTTCTGTCTCCCCAGGGGCTCGTGATTACAGCTGAAAGTCCCCATGACCGAGCTGGTGGCCTCCGAGGACGGATCCCCTGTGGGGGACGGGGAGGAGGGTCTGGGAGACGAACGAGGCCTGGTCATCCACCACCCCGCGGAGGAGCAGCCTTACCGCTGTCCACTGTGTGGCCAGACCTTCTCTCAGCAGCCCAGCCTGGTGCGGCACCAGAAGGCGCACGCCGGGGTCGGGCGCACGGCCGCCTTCGTGTGCCCAGAGTGCGGCAAGGCCTTCAGCGTCAAGCACAACCTGGAGGTGCACCAGCGCACGCACACCGGCGAGCGGCCCTTCCCCTGCCCCGAGTGCGGCCGCTGCTTCAGCCTCAAGCAGAACCTGCTCACACACCAGCGCATCCACAGCGGCGAGAAGCCGCACCAGTGCGCGCAGTGTGGCCGCTGTTTCCGCGAGCCTCGCTTCTTGCTCAACCACCAGCGCACTCACGCGCGCATGCCAGTGCCGCACCCGCGCCGCCCCGGCGTCTTCGGGGAGCGCCGCCCCTACTTCTGCCCGCGCTGTGGCAAGAGCTTTGCACGCGAGGGCTCGCTCAAGACCCACCAGCGCAGCCACGGCCACGGGCCCGAGGGCCAGGAGGCCCATTTAGGCCGAGTACTATGATGGACGCGCCATCTGTCACCATAGGCCGCCTCTGGAACCCGATCTGCGTCTGGGGCCCTTGGAGATGGCACTGGGCTGCAGTCCCCGCTCAGGCTGGGCGTCGGGGAGAGGGGGAGGGCTGGCGTGGGGTGTCTGAGGGGCTCGGGCCGCCCCCTTCCTCTCCTCCCCCAGGGCCTTCCTCTTGGTTGGGCGCACACACAGTGGCATTTGGCTTCATCGTTGGTTTTGCTCCGCAGGCTCCTGCTGCCTAGAGCAGGTGAGCTCCGAAGGTGGGATTCAAGGATGGGGTGTGTGGTGTTGATTCTCCATATCCGGTGGGGGGTGGGTGGGTGTCCTGAGCGTGCAGGTCGTGCAGGTCTCTGTATGACTCACTGCTTACCAGATCTTTGTTCCCAGAATGTCAGAGTTGAAAGCATCTTGGAGAGGGCAGCTTGCCACAGTTCCCCAGGCCCAACCTCAGCCCTCAAGGCCTCCTGCCTCCGGCACCCACTCTCTGGTGTCCTTGGGAAATCATCCCAGTTCATGTCTCAGTTTGCACATCTGTAAGTTGGGGATAGAGACCAGAGACTCCTCCTCCTTCTCCCTGGGATACGGTGAGGATTTGCCTGGGCGGGATGACACCACTTGTCCAAAAAGCTTTGGCTGAGAACTTGCTGTGTACCACCTGCTGTGCTGTGTTCCACTGTGGGAAGAGCCAGAGGTGAGGACCCTGGGCCCAGACATGTGGGCGCTGATACCTGTGTGTGACCGGTGCCTACACAGAGGGCTGTGGGCTATGCAGTAGTGATAACCTGTAAAATGCTCTGGGACCAAAGGTGACTGGCTTCACCCAGGGGACGCTGATGGCTTTGGACCCAGTCCTGAGAATGAAGAGGAAGCCTGTGCAGGGATGTTTTCAAGGAGAGGTTTCTGTAGAGGAGGCTCTAATACACTTTATGGAGGACTTGGTGTCAGGGGGAAGGGACATCTAAGATTTTAAATGAGAAGCACATGGTGATCTCAGAACTGAGGCACAAGGAGGGTAGATAGAAGAGCAGGAGCTTTGGGGTAATCTGGATGAGATTGAAAATGAGGTGATTGAAAACGAGGCCCCAGCTAAGATGCTTGACCAAGATTGTGCAGTGACAACCAGGAAAGCCAGGACTTGTCCCCAGGACCTCTGATTGCAAGTTGTTGCCTTGAGTTGGAGGCCTTGGCCGCTGTTCAGCAGATGAGGAACCGGAGGATCGCCTGAGCTTGCTCCAAATCACAGGAGTGCTTGGTGGGACAGCAGTCGAAGCCAGGGCGCTGTTTTGATTCTGGACCCCCATGACCTACGGCTGAAAAATGGAAAATGGAGCTGGGAGGATTTGGGCATTGTCTAGGAGCCATGTGAAAAGAGCCTGGACAGTGGCATCTAGGGGGACAGGCACCTGAGGGCACACAGAGGGAAGATGCTGGGGGCTCTTAGAGGACCTCTGCTCCCAGAGCCCTCCCTTCAGGCCCAGGCCTGTGCTAAGGGCTGGAGACCTGTCCCTCCCTGCCCTTTGCCTGCCCCCCCCCAGTGGTTATTGCAATGCAGACACATATTTGGTGGCAGAGAATAAGATTAAATAGGGTGCTGGGGCATCTGGAGCAGTCCACCCAAATGCCCTGCACCTAAGGATCTCATGTGTAAATGGGTTAATATCTGCCAGTGCTGGGAAGGGGCTGAGAGGACTCCTCAAAGCCCTGGCCAGATCTGGGGTAGGCCACTGGAGGGTCCCTCCTAGCCCCAGTGGGGGGGTGGGGGTTGTGGCGGACAGGGCCAGGCACAGCACCAGACCTGACCTTGATCTCTTTGTTTCTGTGAACAGATTCAAAGCAGGTACAACCTCTTGACCCAGGAGGTGCAGGGCACATCTGGGCACAGAGACTAGGAATCGAGTCCCACAGGGGCCTGACTGACGCTGTACCCTGGCATGAGGACATGCCCCCTAAGAAGACTGACCTCAGGAGGTGCCCTGCAGTGACTAGGAGAAGTTACCCGATGGAGCCTGGGATTAGAGGCTGATTCCTGATTCCAAGTCCTGATGGAAAAACTCCCCAGGCCCAGTGGGAGTCACAGCTGGGCAGGGCTCCTCCACATGCCTGGCCACAGACCCCAACTCTCATGTGGCAGCAGCAGGGACAGCACCTGAGTGGAGAACCGGCTTCTCTGCTCCTGCCTGGTCCACCCTTGGCTAACATTCAAAGACAGGAAGTGACTATCCTAAGCCAACACAGCAAGTTGGTGTCAGATCTGGTTCTAGAGGCAAATCCTCCCACCACAAGTGAGCCGCATGTGCAGGCTTCATTTTCCTTTTGGAGCTAGAAAGGTCTTTAATACCTTGGGGTCATTCAGCTCTTTGAAAATCTACTGAAGGCTATGGACCTCATCCCCAGGAGAACAAACAAACTCAGTCACACTCAAAAAGTCCAAGCAATTTCAGGAGCCTCTGGACTCGACTAAGAACCTCAGCCTGGGGTCTTCACCTGCCACCCTTTCCTCACAGAGCCCCTGAGTCAAGGCCACCCTATAAATTGCATTTCTCCCTCTAGCCTCCTTCCCTTGTTGGGGAATAAAGAATTCTGAGGTGGAAACCTTTTTAGTCACTCCCTTCTCCCAGACCTAAGAGTACACCAGGTTTCTAGAACCTGATTTCCGGTCCCCTGACATCATCAGAGGTTCCCTGGGCTGGTTTGTCTGCCTAACAGGTTGCTGGTTTGTGTAGTGGAGCCCTTTGCTCGGCCCAGGCTGTGATTTCACAGTGAGATCTTGGGGAAGTTGGACTGTGGAGAAGGTGGGGGTTCAGGCTTTGATCACCTCAGAGAAGGGATCCTGCTTCCGCTAACCACACCCAGACAGCAGTGCCTCCTGCTCCCAGTTGTGCAATCCCAGGCAGGCACTGCTGGGAAAGCTGGGAAGAGGGCGTGAGCCCTGTGTGCTTGTGGCTCTGGGCAGTTCAAAAAGCCAGTAGATGAGCTAAGTGTCCCCCGAGGGGACAGGGTATAAGTGCAAAGGAGCAGGCCCTGGAACAGCTGCAGGATGTGGAACTACCTTCACACCTGAGCAGGTCAGCTTGGAGCCTCCCTGCATCCTGTCTCCTGAGAAGGACCCGCCCATCAAAAAGATGGAAATTGCAGGGGTGGGAAGGAAACCGGTGGCTTCCTGTCCTGGGGTCTTGCTGGCTCTCTCCTGTAGATCTGGTCCCTGGTTCTTACTGAGCACCTACTGTGTGCCTCATCCTAGGATTGCAGATGCCCAGGGAGATGAGAGAAGCCAGGGGTGCTCCATGCCCCAGAAGCACCCATGTGGCTCCCATCCTTGGCCAATCTCAAGGAAGCCTCAGCTACGTACCACTTGTCTGCTGATCTCCAGCTGGTCTCTTCCCTGCCACAACTGTGCTGTGCCTTCCCTTGTGTTGCTGAAATGGCCCCCTTTCCCCACCCTTCCCCAGAAGCCCCCTTATCCACCAGGGCTGAGCTTACGTAGCACCTGGCTATGCTCCTTCCTTCTCTGAACGGTACCTGTGCTAACGCATCGTGTCACTCAAGTACAATGTGCTGTCTCGTCTTCTGGTTTCCTCTGTGTCTCTGTGTTGTGTCTCAAATCCCCAACAAGACTCTGAGCTACCTGAGGGGATAGGACCGTGTCATTTCTTCTTGAACCCTACGTGGGTCTAGTGCAGGGCTGGGCTCGTCCCTCTCAGAAAACACTTGTCAACTGGCTGATAGGGGCCAGCTGTGGGGGTGGGGCTGAAGGGGAGAGGGTATGGGAGTTAACTAGGGGGTGCATTTTATTGGGCCATGGATGGGCTCCCCTGGGTCAGTCATGGGCTTAGAGGACTCAGATCATCCCCTACTTGGGTGCAGTGGAAGTAGGAAGGACCTCCACCCATGGCTGTGCAGGTATGCATGCACGTGGTTGTCCAGGTGGGCTATTTCTGGAGGTAACCGACACCTGCTGAAGCTGACAGAGTGGAGTAAATGTTCTCGGCAACAGCTGGTGTGAGGAGTGGTCCTTGGGGCTTAGCTGGGAGCAGAACAATGGCCTTCATCTCAGCCCCCTCTCTTCGAGTTAGGTTCAAGGTAACTTGGGGGTCAGTGACAACAGGAAACATCTGTCAAAAACCACAGCAGAGAGCACAGGCTCCTGCATATGGCGAGATATAGTTTTGTAAAGCACACAGGTGCAAAGCACGCCCCTCCTCCTCCTGCCTAAGCGGGGACTGCAGCAGGTCGCCTGCTTCACAGCCCAAGACTCCAGCAGCTGAAGTGCTGAACAGTGACCTTGTGCCAGGCTCACCTGTCACCAGGGTGGCCATGGGACTCAGTTGCTGATGGGGAGAAGCAGGGCCTGGTCGTGGCTGAGGCTCACTCCAGCCCCTTGATCTGGCGCTTTGCTCTCTGACTTGGATTTTCAGCTGCAGTAGTTGCCTCCACTGCCCAAGGAAGGTCAGAAGTGGCTCGTCACTCAAGGACAGTGCTGTTGCATTGAAACCTGGCTTCACTGGGGCAGAGGTTGTGAGCCAGGTAGGGCTTTTGTGCTTGACTCAAGCTGGCTGAAGCTACAAAGAGCAGTTATGGGCTCTTGCAATTGAAAGACACACTGGCAGGAAGGTGACAAGAACCCCAGCCCCTCTCACCCCACTTCTGTTCACCTCTCCTGGCAGAAAGAAGCAGCAGGGCTCTGTCCTCTGCCTACCTGGCTCCATTCCTTTCCCTAGTGCTTCTGAGACAGGTACAGGCCTGGCTGTCATTGGCAAAACTGAGATTTCACTGAGGTGCCATCTGCTTCCACCTCTCTGAGGGCTTTTGGTCCAGGAAATCCAGTGACCCTGCTGTCAGGAGAGGGGAGGAGGAAAAGGGGCTTTTCTCCTGAGTGAGTTTGTGGGGTGTAGAGACAGAGAGGCTGCTGCCTTCCAAGGGCACCCAGAGGCCAGCTGTGGTCACCACCCCACATCAATAGCACCACTTGCCTGGCTTTCTGGGAATTTTCTGGGGTGCAGAACTTGGTACAGAAAGGAAAAATGAAGGGCGAGTCCTGGGCAAAATACCAGATGCTCTCACAGAGAAGAGCCTGGCCCCACTGTGCAGGCTACCTCACTTCCTGTCTCCACCTCCTACTCGTCTTTCCACATCTCAGAGGCTCTCTGTCCTCACCCCAGTCATGCCCACTTGAGAGGCCACTGGGGTGGATGCACTTGGTGGCCTCATCCCTTTTCCAGCTGTTGTGTTGGCTGCTAATGGCTCATAGGCGACCAGCCTGGGAGCTACTCCAGCCTCTCTGGTGGATGACAGCGACCTGGGGCTGGCGTGGGGAGCTTCTAGTGCAGCTTCTGCTCAGGGCTTCCTGGCTTCCCCTAGGGATTAGACTGAAATTGATCTCCTGCTGAGATGCCCAGGGTGCCCCACTGGCCTCTGTGGTGCAGTCATTCCCCTGCTCCAGAGCCCTCCTGACAGTGTCTCCCTGCAAACAGAATCTTCATCTCGGGCCTGCTTTTAGGGTCCCCGCCTAAGGCAGGGCCTTGGAAGAGTACCAGCTCCAAGCAGCTTGCCTGCCCGCTGGAGGTGTGACCAGCCTCTTGGGCGGTTCTGTGTGACACTGAGCTAGGCATGGGTTCATGGATTGCAGGTGACTCCCTCCAGGCTGGTGGACCTAAATGCACTTGATCTTAGCCAAAAGGCCAAGAAGTGATGGTGGACCTAAATGATAGCTCAGCAGCCTCTTGCTAGCTGTAAGTAAGCGTATCTCAACTGGAGACTAGGGACAAGTGTCTAGTTCCCAAGTCAAGGGTTGGGATCTAGTCCTACAAAGGTCCTTACCACTTTGAGATTCAGCTTCTTTCTTTCTTTCCTTCCTTCCTCCCTCCCTCCCTCCTTCCTTTCAAGACAGAGTTTCACTATGTGGCTCAGGCTGCCCTTGAACTTGGTGTAATCCTCCTGCCTGCCTCCCAAGTGCTGGGATTACAGGTGTGCGCCACTACTCCCAGCTTGAGGCTCAGTTTCTGATCTCTGAGCAGAGAGGGGCAGATTAGTTGACCTCTGCACCTTTGGGCTGGCAGTGGGCTGTGTCCAAGGCCTCTGGGGACACGTGGAAGCCCTTACCCACTGTGCAGCCAGGCCGCCCTCCTCCTCCGGTCTCTTTTCCCACAGGAGCCACCATCTCTGTTCCAAAGCAGATAGCAGATGCTTGGTGACCTCAAACTAGGGTTTTTTTTGTTCTCCTTTAAGCAGGAGCTCTGGAATTTTTAGCAGCAGACTCAAAGTAACCTTGGAGCAGACCTTCTTTGTTTCTGGAAGTCATCAGTCTTTTGCATTTGAAGCAGTATAAAAAGAATCCCTGCCCTATTCTTGAACTGGCCTTGGATTCGTGAAGAGACTCAGACACAGCTGCTCCAGGCCCACAGGACAGGCCGGCCGTTCCACTTGTTGTAACCACTGCCAGAGTGCACTGGCGGGTGCAGCTACTGGGCCTCTGAGTGTGGGAAGGATCTGGAATTCTGCCCCTGGGAGGGGCTGAGCAGATCCTTCTGTAGTGTGCAGAAAACTGCTGGGGTGCTGGGCAGGGTGGTGCACACTTGTCGTCCTAGCACTCAGGAGGCTGAGGCAGGAAGATTGACATGGAGTTTGAGGCCAGCCTGGGCTACACAGTGAGACTTTGTCTAAAACAAAAAAAGAAAGAAAGGAAAAGAAACTTAGTGCGGGCCAGTAAGGGTTCCCCAAGATTGGATTTAAAGCATGCAGCTCCTTTGTTTACAGGAGCAGGTGTGAGGCACCAGGAGGATGCTCAAACTGTGTCTGCTTCCAGGGGCCAGGAGGGCCCCAGTCTTTATTTGGACATAAAAAGTATGCTGTCTAGGGGCCAGGGATTTAGCTCAGTGGTTTTGACACCTGCTGCGCAAGCGCAAGGACCCGAGTTCGATGCCCAGTGCCAAAAAAAAAAAAAAAAAAAATTATGCTGTCTACTGAAATTACAGTTTACTTTTCCTAAAAAAGAAAAGCTTGGGGTTTCATTTGGTGAGAACTAAATGATGTTAGATGTTTCTCATCATTACTCTGCATTTTGAGTTGTTCTGGGATCACTTTTGAATAAGCAATTTGTTTTTATTAAAACTTATTACCAACTTGTAGGTTAAATTTGTAATTAGTTGTATGATCTTGCAACAAAGGACAATTGCAAAAAAAAAAAAGTAACAGATTTCAGGCTGGCATAGCAGGGGCAGTAGTCAGGGCCTTCCTACCTCTCATCTGATGCTCCTCCCAGGGGTCACTTCTGTGAGGCTCACACTTGTTCCTCTCCTTCCTGCCACTGCGCTTGGCTTTGATAGGGTTCAGGACCTGTCACCCCCAAATCTGCACGTTGGCATTTGGGAAGACAGCAGAAGCCAGAAAGCCACTCTTTCTTTCCCCTCAACTTTGTCTCCTGGAGTGGCCAAGAACAAGTTCTCTGACCACCCCGAGAAGTGGGTCACAGGGCACTCATTTGGAGGAGCCGTCTCTGCTCAGGGGAAGGCAGAGCCACACAGAGCCCTGGAGAAGCCCAGCCAACAGCCCTTGCTGAGCACCCCAGATCCCACCCTTTGTCCTCTAATCCCACT